AGTTCTTAAGTTGAACTTTCTAGTTAGATCTCTTATTTGAGTTTTACCTGTGCATTAGTTGAGTACTTATTGTATGCTTATTTGTTTGCGATAGAGTATCCGGAGTGCACCGCTTGCTACTTCGAATCGCTAGGTTTCGCGGATCATCAGCAAGGCAAGTAACACTTTGATCATACCTCCTACTACCCAGTTTTATTGCATTAGATCAATCCTCACACATTGCATGATTAGTATCTAATTAAATTGTGGGTTTTGGAAAGTAGATGAGGTAGTACCTATTACCTGTTTCATTATCAAACCTTTGGGAGTTACTTCTACATTTGCTTATTGCCATGCTATGCTAGTAGACGTAGATTGGGTGAGTGTATCCGTAACAGATGTGAGATTGTTAAATTAATGATTTATCTAAGGTGGCAACTTAAACACACATCTGGGTGGATTGAGGCACCTGGGTATTCCAGCGATTGCCTGTTTTTCTTTTGGACCGCCACCCAGGCTCAAAGGGATCATGAGATTATTCATACTAGAAACTTCTGTGTGCAGCCACAAGCTACTATGGGCTCTAGCATAGTTGAATAAGTCGTGCGAACTCTTACAGTGGTAGACTAGCAGATGTAGGGGAAAGTAGGTGTAACGGTCTACCCGATCGTAAGGTGCTAGCGTTTCTGAAAGACTATGTCTCGGTCATCCGTTTCTCAAACACCATGTAGTGCGAGAATCCCAACGGAGAAGATCGAGTTTTGTGGGGAAAAGTGCGCAAACCTCTGCAGAGTGTATAAACTAACCATGGTTAGCCGTGTCCCCGGTTATGGACAACTTGAGTATCTAGTACTTGGATTATCATGTGAATCTCATCATGTTACTCTAATTAATATTGTTGGGTTTTTAATGATGATGTTTAATTGAGATTGAGAGGGTGTCTACACTCTCAATGTTTAACAACTACCATAATAGTTAAATAAAATTTATTCCTTTGCAGTAGGGAAAAATTGGCTTTACGCAAAACTGTAACCATAGAGCTTTCCACCAGCCAAATATGCATGTAGTATAGAATTACTCTTTCATTGCTCTATATGTGTTACTTTGCCAGCATATTCCATGTGCTGACCCGTTTCGGGCTGCAACGTTCATGTTGCAGACTTTTCAAACGACGAGTAAGGTGCCTTAGGTCGTGGTTCTATACTCAGTGATGCCATTGGAGTTGATGAACTCACTTATCTTCCAAGCCTTCCGCTGTTATTATTATTAGATGGCCTTAAGCCATATTTATTGTAATAAGTTCTCTTTTGAGACACTCGTTGTAATAATTGTGTGATTGATACTCTGTTATAAATCCTTCAAGTACTGTGCGGTGTCAGCATTACTGATCCAGGGATGACACTGGAGCACAGAGATTGGACCGTTTGAGGTTTGGTCGCTACACCAGATGATTTTGGTTCAGATAAACGGCATGATGTTGGTCCTAAAGAAATTACCGATCTTGCTAAATTAATGGTGCAAGACCAATAAACATATATACTACTTTTACTTTGGTCTATCAACCTGCAAAGCTAGTACTGGTATTGCCGATTTCTATGGAATTAATTGACAAATTCTTTTGAATTATGATTGTTGTTAATAAAATATGTAATAAAATGGGTGATCAATCCATGAGTGATTTTCTAATTTGCTGACAGATGGTAGTTTTAACCGTTAGTAAGTAGTAATGATGATGTGACTGTCTTTTTAAGAACATGAAAGATCGAGCAAAGAAACTTGGAAATGGTAGGTAGTTTTTTTACCGTTAGTAAGTAGTAATGATGATGTGACTGGTCTTTTTAAGAACATGAAAGGTCGAGCAAAGAAACTTGGAAATGATAGTGACTCTACATGTTCCACTTAATTGTACTTATTTATAGCTTAAGAAATTAACATGGCATATTTTTTACTAGGAAGAGCTAATCTAACTGCCCAGGAAACTACAAAGTTGTGCTTCTGACTACTTTGTTTGAAACATGTGAAAAGGGGTTTATGTTTTCATTCAACTCATACTCATTAATCACGTAGTTTTATGTAACTATTTATGTAGTATGATATTTTGGTTCCTTATGTTGTCTATGTAAACATAATCAGAGGTAGACCTATGTAGATATCATCGGGGGGGGGGGGCATTGGCCCCTAGCCTTGGATAAGTTGTGAAGGATTTTAGGAGAGTTTGGCCTGGATTTATTAGCAAGCTCCGCCACTGCATGCCAGCTAGACTTGCTATAAGCCATCTTCTCACAACAACTTTTTTTCCTTTCGAGAAATTATCCATTCTATCTAGTCCATAAAATAATTATCAACTTTTCATTTGTTTGTCAGACCCGACTTTTCCACCCTGGATAATCAATGTCGGTGCGCACACGTCCAGATCAGAGGTGGAGACCATGGGAGTGCTCATTTTGCAGGATGCCACGCCTCGACCAACAGTTGTGTCTATGACCTTGGGTACGGTCATGGAGATAGTGATTTGGTGCACTTGGACGGTCCATCTACCCCTGCAAGATAGTTTTGGGGTATGCTCCTGCATCGTCTACTCCTCTAGTATCACTACCTGTCCTATCCATCAATTTACCGATCCTTTTTATAGCAGATGCACCACTTTATGGACAGGGAAACCGTCACAAGCCTCATTTGACGACATTTTCGATTTGCACCATTTGGAATATCCTTTACTTCACAATTATATTCTCCTGGAGTATCGGGCAAAGTCTTCACGCTGTGCATGCACAGTCCAACGGGTGGTGGTGTTTTTGCCTTTCGTGAAGCCGTGGAGCCAGGGTTGATATACACATAACTTTTGCGTCACTGTAAAAGTTCCTGCTTTAAATAAACATTTTATCATTTAGTTTCTACTTTTACCATCATTTATCAAGTGCACTAAATTATGTCCTGGCCAGTGCAAAATTATTGAGATCCCCGATTCATTTTATTTTGGTAGTGGTGGTTTTTCAGTGAACCTCATGTCCAAATAGTCATAACGGGACGAATCTATAAACCTTGAAGGGAACTAGAATGAACATA